AGAAACCTTATCGTGAACTGATTAGTTGCCTCGTGTACACAACTTATGTAATAAGGCCTGATTTGTATGCGGTTGTCGGCCACTTCAGCGAGTTCCAGTTATGTGCTACTGTTGAACATTGGATTGGTACAAAGCGCGTATTGAGATACGTCAAATTTTTTTGAACGTTACGATACGATCGCTTGCTTCTTTTTATCGGTTTTGAACAATTCTCCAACGAAGGAAATATATAGAGATAACTAAACAAGAATGGCATAACAATTACTGGGACTGACAAGCGAAAGGACATTCGACCCGGCTTTGAAACACACCTCGCCGTTTTTGAATTTTGCTACACGCCATTTCGACATGGATATGACACAAACGTCTGCGATAGACCTTGGCAACATTGTCGCATATAGAAAGTTATCTGTATAGTGTATATGAATTCCACTGCAGTTGTACACAGTCTACCATGGCACAACAGTTTCAGTTAATGCACTCTTTGACTGATTCATTTATGATATTTTTCTTTCACTTTGGGCGAGTTGCGGAAAAAACCCATATTCTGACATAGGATTGAAATGTCCTCATTTATAGACGAATCGCAGTCAATTAATTTATTCTCATACGGCACGCTAAATGTGAACTTTTATCGCAAATTTCTGATCAAGTACGTCTTGACGGAAATTAGAGCAGTCGTAAAAATAGCTATAAAGGCAGATTCTATCACCATTCGAAAGCTTCTTTGGGATTTACGCTTTAATATAAGAGAGATAACATACCGCTCAAAATTGAAACATCTAAGAATGCTGAACATAAATATATTCAACGTTACACAAATGTGTTCTTCTTTTATTAGGAAATCAATTAACCGAAATCTGTAAATTCATTGATTAATTTCATGAAACGAACACATTTCCAATTTCATGAAAGGAACCCATATTTGTATAGCACTGAATCCCTTTATATTTAATATCCTGTCATTCCTCACTGAAAATGACTTTAATAAGCCACAACAACTCGATTCGAAAACAAAATGTAATTGTTTTGTCTTCACAATCACGATTATATAAATAACGACTCGGTTTGCTCAAATTAACAACATACCCAACATTTACTGGGTTCATAAACACACGTGAAAAGTTTTTAAAAAGAATTACATACAGCATAAATCTTAAATTAAACACCAACACTACTTAAATTAACTCTATCCAAAACAAATTTAATGTTTCAGATAGAAATGGTGAACTTTTATTAAAATAAATATAAATAAAGTCCAATTACATTTGTTTAAAATCCGAAAAATCCAGTATATTTATTGAGGCATTTAGCGTAAATGAAGTAAATTTTGTGTAAAATATCTTTAATTGAAATTGTAATAATGCCAAAACACCTTGTAGAAAAAGTTTAAATAGATGCTATAAGATTTTTTAAATCATTGAAATAAGTAACGATTCCATTTGGGCATATGAATTTGCAACAATTTTACGTAAGGCATTAACATCTTGTAATAAAAAGTCAATTTTATTTTATTTGAGATTGATTTCGATTTCTTATTGCTGATTGAAAGCAATCGAGCTAAGAAACCGTTCTAATTGCATCTGGCGTGCACTCGATTTTACATTTTAATGGTTTTTACTAATTTGTAATATCTGTGCATCCTTTGAAAAGAAAACAATTGGAATTACGTATATCTTATACGTTATTCAAATGCCACTTATGAAAATCAACACTACTACTACACTACTAATGTAACACACGTAACTCAACGCAATAACTTCGCGCCAAAAGTTTATTATTTTTTAATGATGTATCCTACGTTATTGCATGAAACTGAATTAACCTCAATTATATCAACCGAAATGCATAAACTTCAAAATTTCCTTCCCAACTATAATTGGTGGATGTGTCTTAGAAATTTAATTTAAAAGAAAAATTTATCTGAATTTATCGTTTACTTGATCACTCTCGGGAGGAACACCTTTTTAATGCTTTTTGTCTTATTCTGTGTTGCAAAGGTGCGTATAATTTCGTTACTTATTAAAGTAACTTGTTCGTTGTATACCACAAGTATTTATTAATATTGCAACATGCATGCTTCAGAACAATAGAAGTAGTAACACTGCATACAGGGTAACCCATTAAAATGAAACAGAACTGTTTTCAATAATTATTTATGGAACATAAGCATAATGAAGCTTTTATGGCCACTAAAATACGTCGCTCGTCATAAAAGGTAGTTATGCTTGAGGTACATTCACAAATTTATGCGCAGATATAGGAATTTTATTCAACGATATCCCAAGAAAGAACATATCTTTATTTATTATATCATGATGGCAGCTTGTCACTAACTTCTTTGGCCCAACGTTTATCAATACAACTCGCTACTCGGAGTGAATATCCTTTATTTCATTTAGCCTTCGGGTAGGGGCGCGCTATCTTTGGATAGGAATTAAAACAGATATACACCGTTGCCGAGAATAAAATTAAAGTAAGAACGAATTTTGGTGCCTTTGGGGACGTTGTAACAGTGTATTTTCTCATTGGTTATTTTTGTTTTACAGTCGCTGCATTAGTTGTTTGAGATTCACTGGCATACCTACAGTATCACTACCGCCATCTCTGGGAAGTTTTTCGCGCCATCGCGCGCAATCCTTAAGATGCATTAATTTTTCTTCCGGCATTATCCTTGGTTCCACGTGCTTAGATAAAGCAGTTGGTGGCTGTTGCGAAAGAATTCCATGATGTGAATTGCAACCGTTTAAAGTAAAAGCTTGGCTGTTTTTGGCGATTCATTCATTTGGTGTAACTTCGATGCGTGGTCGAATTCGAGTTACACGCAATTCTATACGTGTGAGTAGACTACCATTTTGATTGCCGGCGTTATCTATTGAATTATTTTAGATCTACCAGTTAAAGTTCGAACCGAATGTAAATTCCGCCTATTTGGCAATCGTTCCGTTGTAACTATTTGCTTAGAACCCTCTCCTTAATTAATTAGAGGAGCAGAGAGACAAGTCTTAACCTTCACCGGACAACCTTCGTCCTTTCTCCGCCATTCTTTATTTGCCAGTTTTGACTCTGGAGTGTAGTGATGTACCCACGTCTCATCACGTCACGATACGCTTTAAAAATCCTCCCCATTTCGCTTAAATCAATCCAGGAACCTTCCAGCGATCTCGGAGCTGACGTGTTTTTCAGTTTTCAGTCAAAAACCTCAGAATCCATCCAGCACTAATTTTTCTGAAACCGAGTTGATAAGTGATTATGGGTTGAACCTTTCTAAAGCTGAATTTCTGATTCATCGGTCAAAAATTTTATGAGACGAAGGTACTTTTTGATCGGTTATGGTTGTACTAACTTAACTGTAATATCGAGCTTGCGCGCTTACCAGACGCATTCCCCTACTCCTCATAAACCAAGAATCTACTAACCACAACATAATCTAGCTAGGAAATGCATTCTAAGAAGAATAGCAAAATTATACCGTTTATATTTGATTCACGCATTTCCCATAGTAGCGAATATATTTTTTCTCGATATATCGATAATTACCGAAAAAATATGTCGATATCTATCGATATGTCTATAACTATCTATACGAGGGGTCGTTTTTATATTCCCTGACTATGCCTGGAAACAAAAGACTAGACAAACAACAAAAGTTCCCCTACTTTTGAATACACCGTTTCAATATCCCCAGCCAACACATTTACGTTTAATAAATGGTTTTAAAGCGTTTTGAAAGGATAAATTCAGTATTGGTAGTATACGTTTTTTTGTAGATCAATTTTATACTTTACGTTTAATATACGATTTTTGTTCGTATAGAGTTCACGTTCTACGTTGATAATATGTATATAAATAAACGTTCTTTTGTCAATTTTGATAAACGTATATAATACTACTTTGATATACGATGCTGGAATAATGGTATATTTACTTCCTCCAAAATACGAATAAAAATTAGGCATATGCTACGTATTAAGATTACGTATGATTTATGTCATAATCTAACGAAACTGGTATGACTAATTCATAAGAAACAGTACCACCAATTCGCCATGCCCAACAGTTGTCAAAACTAATACATTTTAGAACTGTCATTGTTATGGAAACTTTGATTTTCATAAATTATGCGTCGTGCTAATAGTATTAACAGATGCAGTATGTTGTTCTTTAAAAAACATATTTATTATGCAACATGAATTTCCTCCATCTTGTTCATGTTCTTTATCAGAATCATCAAAATCAACTGTTTTATGTGACTTTGTAGAACTATCTGTTGAACTTCTGCTTCAAAGCTCCGTGTACTACTATTCTCAAAGGTAATAGCTTTGGCTTTGTTTATTCATTCAAATGAACAAACAAAGTTAATACCTAGTGTAATATTTGCTATGTTTTAGTTTATAAACGCGTCACTGAAACCAGATACATCGTGTAAGAAAATTGAACGACTGCCGGGACAATCGAATAGCTGGGAGTTTGAAAGGACGTATAGGGATTTGAGGTAAATCCGATTGAACAAATTTGCGCTGGGCGATTAACTTGGGAGCTTTTGAGAAGAGTTATATAGACGTAAAAACTTCTATGGCTCGTTTCTAAGCCTTTTATTCCGCAAGTGCAGCGCTCCATGAAATGCAACTGGACTTATTCCTACAAAATACATTTCACAGAAGTAAAAGTAAAAAAAGATTAGTCGTCGCGTCGTCCATAAGAGCAAAGACGCAGTGAAGCTGACAGCGACAGGCTTTATTGAAGTGTCACAGTTCTATAATCTTTTATTCAATCGGAACGGGGATATAGTTCTAAAACTTTCCAACTTTCGAAGTTTACGAAAAGACAAAGAGACTTGTATGCTTTTCTATTGCCAATTTCCAAACGGCAGTTCTTAATTAAGTTTACGTCAAAAACAACACAATTTTGAAATGGATTCACTTAATGAAACTGATTTCTACACATTGTTCACATATAAAAGATTTAAATTTCATACAAAAAAATAATGGAAAACTTACCGCTCCATTATACAGCCCACAATTTATGTTTACGACAATGCTGTTTCTTATCAAAGATAAAATCTCAGTCGCACATTAACACGTCAGCGCACCGATTTTTCGTAATCTGAACCCACGTGTTTTAAAATTCTCCAAGAGCCATACCGAAGGGAAGTACACGGAAAACTGGTAAACAGTTCGGAATTCCGCGATTATAGTTATGTTCATGCGCAGAAAATTTGGAAAATTATTTTCCGTCCACCAAAGGTGAAGCGACGGTTTTCCAGCGTTAACGAAATCACCTGCGCTTTCAGAAATTTAAATTTCAAATATTCCGTATAGGGCTACCGAACAATTTAATAAAGAGATTTGCAATCGGATCAAGTTATTCCTAAACACTTGGCATTTTGCCATTCCGCCCTTTACTGTTTATGTAAATAACAGGTGCCAATCATCCAACCTGTTGCATATAACTTTCTAAATTTTAAAATACAACAAACCTTTGGAAATGGAGATAACATTGATTCCGCTCTTCTATTGGGATTTGCAGTGTCAAAAATACCTAGGTTAAAAGCAAATACAATTTTCATGAAAGAAAATGTAATAACAGATATAAAATGTAAATATATTCATATGCAATTTACATAATGTAATGTAAACAATATAAAAAAGCTTAATTTCATTGTAGTACGACATTCAGTTTTAATTAATGAAGTGTCCTGGAAATCAGAGGGGATGTATTCCTTTATTGCATTAATAATATCTATAACAAAGAGGGGTGAATTGCTGCTATTCAATGCAAACGTGAGTAGGAATCTTATTTCAAACCTTAAGATTCGGGTTAGTGAGAATAATGGAGAATTCTGGCACAAACTAACTTAGTGCAATAAAATATAGGGATTCTTGCTATTCAATGCTGTTCCTGCTGCAATTTTTAGCGTAACGCGTAAAAGTAACACATCGAAGTAGATGTAACGCTTATGTGCTTGATTTGCTTGCTTTCCATCGTCTGTTGTCTGGTCCATCGACATCTCGGCCCATGGGCCACCTAGAGACTTCGCTATTGAGAGCTGCTATGGCCTATATTTTCCCGTTACTCATCATTTACGCGGCAACACCAACGACTGGGTTTTGAAACCTTTTTTATAATTCTGACTTATTACGAGGGACCAGCCTATGCATGTTTATGAAACATTTTAATTATTTCATTTATGTTCTTAAACTAGTCACTTCTATTAATCGTTACAAAACAAGACTTTTTATTTGGCTTCGGCATCTGTAATAACTATGGGACACTCTGTATCTCTAATTTCTATTATTTTTTATGTCAGATGTGGTTATAAATTGGGATTGAACGCAAATCCGAATCCTATTAAGTAGTTCAATTCGAGGTCAATTCTGTTTTATATGAGAATTATTTTTATACCATTATTAGTTATGTTTAAATCTTGTGTTAGAAAGATAAGGAAAATGTGGAATTGTTTGCGTAGTTTCCTGAAAATCTCGGGTCGTAGATAATAAGCTTTCTTAACGCTGCGTTAACTAATTAGTTTCAAGATAAGCGCATGTTATCGCCGAAGTAAGCAGATGTTAATTCTTTCAGGGATTGAGTATTATTGTTAAGGAAAGAGGGACGAAAATGAGAAAAGGAAATTGTTTTAAATAGCAGAGGCGGACGTTAATCGTTGTTTTGTTTGTTTGGTGGTGGGCGTTGAAACGTAGCCGTTCGTTTTGGGGTTACTGCCGTATTTGAGCGTATTTGAAAAGACAGTCCGTCTTGTTTAATTGTAAAGTTGTCTAGTAGAGAATGCTTAAAGAGTGTTCTTTGGTTTTTATGCTTACAAAGAAGTTTCCCAATGCCCGTTAAAGGGAGTTTTATCAACCATCAAAGGGCAGTTATAGTGAAGTCAAAGAAGCGAGGTTCCGAAGCATCATTCAGCCTGATTAGTACGTCAGTTTGTTGAAAAGCGTATTTACGACGGCATGATAAGAATTTTAACTCGAAGCTGTTGATTAAAAAAAATTCTTTGGGATTTTGGGGGCGGTTAAGGCTGTTGAATTTTTCAAATTAATAAAATTTACGTAAATATTAAAGATTTTCCTCGCGCCTATATCATAAAATTATGTGTGTATAATTCATAAACTATTCCTTCCCTTTTTTCACATACGAGTATAAACGGCAAAAAAGATACATTTTTCTATAAGATGATGGTGGTATTTTTAAACCCCCAACTTTTTAAGTAGATCTTGAACCCCTTTTTTACGTGATATTTGCGATAAATTGCAACATAGATGTCAAAATTGATTGAACCGACAGTCTTCCCGATTTTTGGTTTTTGCTTAAAAGAATTTCACAGGCAAGTGACCTATACGCCCATTTTGGTTATAAAATATTACACAATAATCCCTTATGATACCTTTCGGACATCTGTAACAGACAATGAGACAACAAACAAATAAAAGGGTTAGTAAATCGAACTGCACAAAAAATATTGTGAAATAGCAATGCTAACGTCTGACACGGATGCAATCGTATATAAAAACTGTAATTAATACTCAATACGAATCAATAATTCCAATCAACCACGGGATAATCTAACCTCACGAATCACCGAAACCACTGCGCATATTTCGCTCATGATTCTCCAGTTAAAATTTTAAAGTCTAATGTGGAGGAGTTAGCTTAAACCTTCGATTCATTTTAACGGGCAATTTAAAATGATTATGAAACTAGTTTTTTTTTACTAAAGGTAGAATCAAAATTTAACGGTCAGTTAATTTAGAGTATGAAAATAATAAAAGAACAAATCGTAAATACAGATTTACTACTTAAAGACCATCGTAATTAACTGTACGCACTAATGTAATTAATATTAAAGAAAAGATAAAGGAATGCGAATAAAAAACATGTTTGAAATAAAAAAGAAAATGAATTATGGCAGTTGTGAACAAATCCATTTGATAAAATGCCACAGCGCCGAATCAAGAGTTGATTAAAAGAGAACAATGCCCAGCAAGTACCGATTGTCTGTGCTCTGTCGACCCATTTGCTTGATTAAACGATTTCTTTTACAAAATTGAAATTCCCTATTGGAGAAGTGAGGCTAAGGTTCATATTGAGATGAAAAATGCGCCCATTCCAGATAATGAAGTTTTGGGGTTTTCAGTTTTCACTTAATTTTGTTTCTAAAAAATAGACTAGTAAAACGCAAATGTATTTTACTTTACAGAGACAAGTATAAAACGAACTGGTGAACCTGAAACACGATTGCATTGTTGTGAAACAGAGCCCTTTTCAAACTTTTTCTTGTATTACACAAGAGAAAAAAATGTATTGTATAGAAACTTACGAGTAGGTACAACAACCGGAACCGTCGCGTCAGTTACGCCGTATACAGTACTTTCAGAAAAATGACGTTACTGATCCTGCGATTTTGTGATGCGTTCAGTGTAATTGAAAATGGATTACTTTCATCTCTAATAATTTTATGAAAGGCGTACGTACCTATTAAAATTTCTTTCTAAACAAATGAGCGGGAGGGCGGAAATATATAAAATTATGTGAATAGTCAACACTGCGACCTACTTAAGAAACTCGTGCTCATGTTCCATTGCCATATCAAAATGATCAATGGACTATGTAATTGCACTAGCGGAACACCAACTTTATCAACCGAATGCTATGGGTTTCAAACATTAGTGCTTATAATAACTGACTAATTAAGTGTTAACTTGTCAACTTTACGCTTTGAATATATTTTACTTTCGTTAACCGACTTGATTGATTATGGTTAAAAAGAGATTTTCTACCCACAAGTTATTTACTGTAACTTTTCATGTAGGCAACAGTACCATAATATGTGTCTGAAGGACATCTCCAGGTACTCCGTGTGATTGCTACGCTCCGATTCGCCTTTGTCACATCAAACAGGCAAACCACGTAATTTGTGCCTTAGAAACGATAATTCTTTGCGTATTAGTTTTATGCAAGGGTTCGTATTTTCTTATGAAACGTGCGCGCTGAAAGAAAGTAGACTTTAGTAAATAAAACAATTGGGAAAAGTAAATGATTAACGTCAGGCTTCCACAATTCGTGAATAAATTTGTGCTTTAATATTCGTATAAGCATAATCTATGGATAAGTATTTCAAGGTATATTTGTATCTTAACCTTTGATCTGTTCGGTAGTAATATCATTGAGTAATTAAATAATTTTAATGGATGCGGCAAAAGCTACCTTAATGACAGTAAATGAATGATTTTATTTACTTACGGGTAAATTTGGCTAGGTTTTTGTGTTTATTTTGTGATTCTGAAACTTGAAAGTCACTAATTAGCCAAAAAAAATAGTACCCGTAGGTACACTACTTTGTATAGTGATTGGAAAACATACTTGTTCATAAAATAAATGGAAGCGTTAAAATTTCAATAGAAATTTACAGGACTATTCATTGACGTCCCACAAATAAGAGCAAAGAAGATAAATATACCTATTGGTTATAGTACAATACTTATAAAATGCTCAAAGATACCTAATGGATGACTTTCTCCTTTATTTTTATATGGTATTTTATTATATAAATGTATATTTTCAGCGTCATTTAATCTTAGGGCACTTACTGAAATGAGGAAACGCGAAAGAGCAAAAGCAATAGAAATTACTACCTTCTGTATGAATATGAACGCACACGCAAGTATAACAATTGCACTAATTATAACCGAGGACTGTTCAAAATGACTATTCAAACGTTTACGTCTGTGCAATTTTAATAGCGTTCACAACTTACTGTCCGAGACCATTCCCTAATTAAATTCATGAATATATGAATGAGACCGAATACAATATTTTGGTTTTTCCTTATTATTATGCCACAGCCTGTGCCAAAATAATGAAAATATTATCATTTCTCTCAGTTGTGAATATAATTCCTAAACCTATTATATGCCTCTGACAAATCCATCGAGTAGACACTCTTTTTGTATCCGGATCCTCTTGTGTAATTTTAAATATTGTACTTTCAGGCAATCCACTTTTTTGTAAGCACGGGGAATTTTTATTTGTCGATAGACCTGACACAAAATTTCGAATTTTGATACGACAAATCGTAAACAGTGATTCCAGGTTACCGAATTTGTTTGTCCAAACG